ACTGTTTAAAGTTTTCTACTAGGGTTTTTTCCCTCTAAAATAATGTGAACACACGAATAATTTAATTATTTCGACCCTTTGTCAGACCACTGCTGGCCGAGGGCCATGTTGGTCGTGGAGTGCGTTTGACCATACTTCACCATTTCGGCCAGTACCGGTCGGTGAAGGGCGCCTCTTGTTGACTGGTTCTGATGAAGCTTGCCTCGTTGCGTTCGCTGTGGCCTGGAATCGAACTCGGGTCGTTGGGTTCGGAAACAGACCCTGGCACATTTGGCCAAACATAGATTTGTAACTGGCCAAGGCTGCACGATTTAAGCGACCGTTAAAAAAACCACACACGTGCATTCAGTTTAACACGTAGTAGTCGTAGGCTTTCGCGACCTATATTATATCCACAGAAGTTTTTTTTGGTTAGATCGCGTAAATATAAATGTGTCGTTAAACACCGCCCAACACAGCCAATTATTAAGGGTTTGTCCCGTAAATATAATGTGCTGATTAGTTACTAGTTCAGCACTCACCGGCTGTGTGTTAAGCCGACAACAAAATGTTAGAATTCGAGTAGCCGTGACATTGCGCTGGTAATTACAACGACAACCAGCCTCATCAGGCGACGATCAGAATTGAGGAGAATCCTCCCTGTGTCTCGGGCCTTCAGTATAGAGGAGGGTTAAATGTGATGTGAAAAAAACAACCTCTCTTATGGATGTGCATTCAGGCAGTGACTTTCATTTCTTAAGAGCGTAAATAATAAAGTAGAGTAATGACAATGCACGACAGCATTACACAGTCCACACGGAATGTCGGGGCGCCAGCGGGAGTGAGTGAACCCACGCGGACACGCACGCGGAAACGGCCATCCTCCCCAGCGCAGCCAACAAGTCCCGACAACATTCCAGCAATGCGCCCACTCCTGCAAGACGCTTCCGTCCTGCATGCATGTATGTACGTTGAACTTCTTTAGCACCGTACTTAGCCGACCGCGTTAATGGGGAGGTGCAGGAAATCGAAATTTGCTTAATACGTGTGATGTTTGCCCACTGTTCTCTTGGTATAAGTTCATTTATATATATTTTTGCTCGCTTTTCATCCGTGGTTTTGACTGCTGGTGATTACATTTATTTTACACAATAGACTGAAAAATCAGTCGGCTCCCTGTGAATGTGGCTGTCCAGAGCGCGTGGTGCAGGCGGCGTGCTTGATGGGCGGGTGTTGTTGTTTTTAGGATTTTGTTGACGAGCAATGCCAGGGGAGTGCCATCCTCCCATAACGGGGGGGGGGGGGGGTGCTTTTGTAACCCGTTGGTTCTCGCATCGTGTTGAGTCGAGCGCTTTGCTGGTGTTCAACGCGTTGGGTTCGGGTTGTGCGTGTTGGGACGGGGATTTGCGAGCACGGCTCGGTAGAGGATTCTGATCGTTGCTGTTTCTTCAGAGTAATCCGAGAGTATGTCTGTCGTCTTTGCGTCGATCCTTGTTATCTTTGCAGGCGAGAGTCTTCGCAGCCTGGCCCTGTTGTGTTTTATTATCGTTGTTATTCCGATTTCGATTTAAAGCTTTCGTGACTGCAGGGATTCATCTTCCTGGTTCTTTCGGTAAAGTCACGTAGAAGGGAAGTAATAAAATAATAAGAATAAAACATAATAAAAATAAAACATAATAAAATAATTATCACGACGTTTCGGCCACAACGCAAGCAGCCGTCCTCAGGTGAAGAATGAAACACCACCAAGCTTGGAGCGTATATTTAAGCTGGGTTGGAGGGGGGGAGGTTGGGAAGAAGAGCGCCTTGACAAAATAATTTGCATATCAAGAGGAATTTAGCATATGGAAAGTGCGTAGGAGGTGGGTGGGGGGTTTTCAAATTAATATTATGCCCGTGCATTATGCAGGATTAGCAGCATCAAAGGGAGGGGGAAGGGGGGTAGCATTAACAAAGGAAAGGAATGTTAATAGTATGTAGCTGCAGTTACTAAACAATCACGTAAAAAACTAAAGTATAAACTACATAAACAACTAAAGTATAAACTACATAGCATAATCAGTATACTTACTATACTCTACAATAAGCTGAGGTACTAACGGTAAGTAATACATTACAATTATACGTAGTAAAAATTATATAATATGCTTCCATCTCAACTTTATTCTCTTACATCACACGAGTCTACACCGTACTATATACTGCCATAGACAAACCCAACATTAAATTATATACTGTATTGCTATAAACCACCTATACCTTATACATTTTAATATACACTATTATTATTCTACCCACCCTAATGTGTATCACACTGCTATATGTTTACTATACAATTACGATACTATATATTACTTTGTACATTGTATTAAGCATATCAATGTTATACTATTTGTTATTATACACTGTACCATTGACCGTCGTGTCAATGGGTGAGTCGTGGGGGGAAACTTGCAGCGGAGCAAAGAATCCATTCCCTGCGGAGAATACAATGCCAGTGAGTGGAACGCGGTCTGAAAGTCACCGTAAACGTGAACACAATCAGTTAAGATCCGAAATGGTTTATTACGTCCTTCCAATGATTGCTAAGCCAGAATCCATCTTCTCGGTTGAAATTGTCTCTGTGTTTGTATATGTGGATCGCCTCATGAACGAATCTCTCATGATAGCCAGATGGCTTGCAGAGAACCTCTGTCTTGGAGAAGTCATTGTCATGTGAGCCCACTGAGTTGTAACAGTGATCTGCCACGGCTGAGGTGTCTGTCCTACCGTGTTTCAGGTCTGCTTTATGTTCACGGATGCGGTCCGAGACATGTCGTTTGGTTTCTCCAATGTAACTGCTACCACAGAGGCAACTTAGTTTGTAGACGCCAGGGTACTGTATGTCTGGAACCACATCTTTTACAGACGGGACCAGATCACGGATTTTATGTACTGATTTGAATCGGACCTGGATCTTGTGTTTAATCAGGATTTTGGAGATCTTTTTTGTGACCCCAGCAATGTAGGGTAAGGTGATGGTCTTGAAAGGCTCCTCAACAGGATCCTTCTTGATGGTTGGAGTGATGGCTTTGCAGATTGTGTAGTCGGAGTAACCATTAGCCTTAAGAGTTTGGCGTATGTGTTTGAGTTCACTGGCAATATGTTCCTGGTCGGAGATGCATTGGGCTCTATGGTATCGAGTCTTGATTGTGTTAACGTTTACGGTGACTTTCAGACCGCGTTCCACTCGCTGGCATTGTATTCTCCGCAGGGAATGGATTCTTTGCTCCGCTGCAAGTTTCCCCCCACGACTCACCCATTGACACGACGGTCAATGGTACAGTGTATAATAACAAATAGTATAACATTGATATGTTTAATACAATGTACAAAGTAATATATAGTATCGTAATTGTATAGTAAACATATAGCAGTGTGATACACATTAGGGTGGGTAGATTAATAAATAGTGTTATATTAAAATGTAAAAGGTATAGGGTGGTTTATAGCAATACAGTATATAATTTAATGTTGGGTTTGTCTATGGCAGTATATAGTACGGTGTAGACTCGTGTGATGTAAGAGAATAAAGTTTAGATGGAAGCATATTATATAATTTTTACGACGTAGAATTGTAATGTATTACTTACCGTTAGTAACTCAGCTTATTGTAGAGTATAGTAAGTATAATGATGATGCTATGTAGTTTATACTTTAGTTTTTTATGTAGTTTATACTTTAGTTTTCTACGTGGTTGTTTAGTAACTGCAGCTACATACTATTAACATTCCTTTCCTTTGTTAATGCTACCCCCCTTCCCCCTCCCTTTGATGCTGCTATTCCTGCATAATGCACGGGCATAATATTAATTTGAAACCCCCCCCCCCGCCCACCTCCTACGCATTTTCCATATGCTAAATTCCTCTTGATATGCAAATTATTTTGTCAAGGCGCTCTTCTTCCCAACCTCCCCCCCTCCAACCCAGCTTAAATATACGCTCCAAGCTTGGTGGTGTTTCATTCTTCACCTGAGGACGGCTGCTTGCGTTGTGGCCGAAACGTCGTGAGAATTATTTTATTATGTTTTATTTTTATTATGTTATTACTTCCCTTCTACGTGACTTTACCGAAAAAACCAGGAAGAAGGTTATTCCGATTGTTTACCCAGCAAAGCTTCGCTGAGTCTCGAAGCTCATTTGAAGGAAGAGGATCCTTTGCCAATTTTTTTTCCGGATTGTTGAGATGTTACTGCTGCTGCGTGTAACCCCGACTTAAGTCATTTTCAGGAATATTTTCAGCATTGGGATGTTTGAACCACGGTGGCGAGATGTTAACTACCTAGCCTGGTATACAGGAGGTCGTGGGTTCTTATACCGACCCTGACGCCTGCTGCTGTGTATTTGGAGTTTGCGTGTCTCTCTCTCCCCCGTGGTCGCGTGGATTTTTCTTCGTGTCCTCTGGTTTGCACCTACACATTTCGAATCAACATAATGCGTTTAGAGTATTCGGCTGCTATAAAGCCACTTCATTGGGGTATCTTTTGTGCTCACCAAGTCACTTCTGAAAAAGAGCTACATAGCTTAGTAGGCCTTGCCTGGTAAAATATATATATATATTTAAATAGTTTCGACCATACCAGTTACAATGTAAGTGTTCTCTTTAGCTACGGAAGGAAACTGGACAAGCCTGAGGAAACCCACGCAGAACGGAGGGAGAGAGAGAACGTACAAACTCCACGCAGCGAGGAATCCAACCCAGGCGCGTGTTGCCGTGAGGCGTGAGCGTTACCACTGCGCCACCACCCTGCACTGTCAGTGGATCGCCAAGGATTCAAAGCCGCTACGGTGACGGATAATGGAAACTTCTCGAGTGGACCGCCGTCTTTGCAATCGCACTTTATAAAACCCAAAGCAAATGGTAGTGACATCACCCACTTTAATTTTAGCCACTAAGAGCACATGGCCGGTCTCGTCTCCTGACACCGAGGATGGGGGACGAGGCTTCGGGGGAGGGGGTGGGGAGGGGGGTTGCTCCACTCGATGTGCGGATGGAGCCAGGTGCCGGCGTCCCCAAAGGTGAACCCCGAGACCTGAGTTTGAGTCCAGGTCACAGCTAGCATCAGTGGTGAGTGACATCTGAACCGAGTTGTAGGCCCTCCGACCAGCATGGAGGAGGAGAAGTAGCCAACGCCCATAACTGCCATGGCATGGGAGGGCGAGGGGTGGACCTTCATCCAGCAGTGGATTGGCCATGTTATTAATTCAAAATAGAGGATTGTATTGGGATAGATCGCGTGAATATAGGTGTCGTTAAACCCGCCACAGTACTCCAATTTAAGTGATTGTCTCTCGGGTTCCTCGCGGGGGTCCCCCCCCCACTTCCCCCCCCAGTCCCACCCCACTTCCCCCCGTTCCACTTACCCCCCCCCTACTTTACCCCCCACCCCACTTTACCCCCCCCCCCCACACTTTATTCCCCCCCACCCCCCCCAACTTTCCCCCTCTCAACATTTAGAACAAACGTTCGTCAAGATGATTATTCCGATGAGTGTTTTCTTCGTTTGCAAGGCCACCGTGGGACAATGATCAACAGTCTCTACGAGCAATTGGCATCACCAGGCTGCAGCCTGATAATGCTGGTTGTAATTACTGGCGAAACGTCACAATACTCAGATTGTAAATATTGTGAGTTTACTGTCCAACACACCAGCGTGTGCTGAACTCGTAACAAATTGCCACGTTTTTTTTACGTGACAGGTTTCACGACACATTTACGCGATCGAAACCAAAAAAAATGTATCTACATTGTCTATCTGTTACAGATAATGTTGATCGGGAAAACCTAAGTGTGAAACTGATGTTATTAATTACACCGCCTCAGCGACATGCATTTGTTTGCAGTTGTCTGCTTATTTCAGTTTAGATCGCCCTTGCAACAGACTTGTGATCTTTAGTTTGTTGTCCTTCCCCAGCACCTCCGATTAGCGCAGTTGGCTATGTACGGTGTGAAATAAGAAGTTCAACATACGGTGCATAAATAGGCCATCACTCGGCGATGTATACAGTGCACGCTGTGGTATGTGTGTATCGGTCCACCACCCACGGCATTTCTCATTGAAGTGTCCCTGCGTGTAAGATCTCACGTCTGTGACGTCACCCTGAAGAGGGCTGCTGGATCATGTCACCGTCCCGCGAGACCATCCCCATGTACCACAACTATTTGGCAAACCTTTACGGTGATTGGCGGTTGGATTGTTTATGGGCGTAATGGGAATATTTGCTTTTTTCCTATAAAACATTTGATGTAGTCATCACAAATGCAGGGATAATCGAGGTGGCTTTTAACTCTTTTTCAACGGTTTTACTTAACTTGATTACTCTGTTTGTCGTGGTGAAATATTGTAATCAAAATTTCGTCCACTTCCCGTTGTCCAATCAATTCCACATTTTGCACACGTATTCAGATCCGGTGACAATGCATGTCTCTATCAAAAACGGCATAAATTAATCAATTAATTCTCTACTTTAAAGCAATTGACATTTAGTATGGACGCCGTTATTATTTATATATATTTGTGTAGGTCAAAAATGCAGCGGTCCCCAAACTGTGGAATTGGCTCGCACAAAAAGCAGGCGCCGCGTGTACTTTTCGACCGTGAGTTAAACGAAGTTGTTAATATAACCGTTGTTTTTAAAACACTTTGTAAAAGGAGTTTATTCCCATTCCGAGACGTCTGCAAGTCGCAGGGTGTGGTGGTGTCCCGTTCACCGCGGGACCTCGGAACACGGCGTTAATTCTATTTCGAGCGGCGTAGTAGCGCCGCTGTTTATAAAGATGTTGTTACTCACCGCGGAGAACCGTAGCGACACGACCGCCACACTCTACGATAGCCGGCGCCAAAATTGTCGCACGCCCCTCCCGCGTGACCTTGTGGGAGCCTCGGTACCGATATATTTTTAAAAATTTTCTCCCGGTTCCGTTCCAATGGTGTGTCATGCTCGTCATCCGAACAGACTCGCAAAAAAAAACTGATGATGTACACGTACGTATACGTGTGTATACGTACTAGGGCTGAACGATTTGGGGAAAATATCTAATTGCGATTTTTCTGATAGATATTGTAATTGCGATTTGATTTGTGATTAAAGCTTCAGTACAATATTCACTGTGTAATAGATTTAAAACATGTGATGGAGCATTACCACATGATACCATCAAAATATGAACTGCTCTATATATTCTAATGCAAGGATGATAACTTAAAAGATATGAATTGCTTCAAACATTTATTAATTAAAATGTTTTAATTGAAATAGAACAATCAAACCTAGAACAATTATTAAGGTAAATAAACTTCTAATAATAAAAAATAAAACAATTCCAATAAGAAAGTAATAGGACTTTTCAAAGCGCAAAAAATCACAGCCTTTGCGATTTGCTAATCGCATTGTTTGAAATTG